TCTTGCTCAGTGGGAGGGGGCTGCAAGGGGGTAGGACTGGTGGGGACCTAGGGGGGCCAGCAGCTGGAGAGGTCGCCCCTTGCGTTGCTGCATGTCACTGCAGCCCCCAGCCTCCTATGGAGAGAGGATAAAGCACGCCTGCTCCTTCCCTGTAGCAGGCACCGCGGACGCCCAGCACAGATCCCGGACGCCCAGCACAGATCCTGAGGCACTTACCGCGTCCGAGCTCACCGCGGCTTCACCTGCTGGCACCTGCACCTCCCTCTCAGACAGGGAGCTCTTTCTGTCCACTCTCAGGGGTGCATGCTGGGCATGACACCCCAGCAGCGAGCCCCCAGAACCCTTTCCATTGGCTTCTTCCCTTCCCCGCCTCACTTCTCCACTCCCCTCCTGGGGCATCCTGGGCTTACTTCTTGAATAACCCCCTGGAACTGCACTCCTGTCTCCTGTCTGCTTCCGTGGCACCCGACCTGAGATGCCGGCTCCCAGGCAGCTGGGGAGGCAGCGATGGTGCCAGGTGCTGTCGGGTCAGGTCTAACAACCAGGTGCCCTGGGCCTGGGAGCGCTGCCTCCAGTGGCCTCCGCAAGTCCTTGTCTGCGGTCTTCTGCCCCCTTGGGGGTGGGGTGCCGAGCGCTCCCCAGGAGCTGTGGGAGCTGCTGCTGCTGCTGGCAGGAGCTGTAACCAGAGCCGTCTCCTGCAGGGCGAGTGCCTGTTAGGGCTGCAGACTCTTGCTGAGGCCTACTGTGTGCCGGGTGCTGAGCTAGGCGAGGAGGGGGTTACAGAGGTGATTGGACATGGCTTCTGGCTCCCAGTTTGTACAGCCTGGGCATAGGGGACACTGCAGGCAACATCACTGTGTCAGGGGGAAAACCAGGCCAGGAGGGGTGATGGGAACCCACGGCTTCGGAGAAGGCCAGGTAGCCTGTGGTCAGCGGCACGGTGCCACGCGGGGTTCCCGAGAGGGAGCCAGGACAGCGCCAGCGGGGAGGGCCTGGCAGACCCTCGCTGTGTGGCTCCTGCCCACTGTGGGCTACATGGCTTCTCCTACTCCCTGGGGAGCAAGGGACCCACGAGGAGGGGTGAGGCTGGTGCTGATGTCTGGCTCCTGGAGGCAAGAACGTTGCAGGGAGACCTCTCCTCCCAGGCAGAAGCAGGATGGATTGATGGGCCCCTGGGGGTGTCTGGGGAGCGTCCATGGGGGCACCTTGGCCGGCCCAGGGTCCCTTTGTGGTCACCTCCCTGATTTTGCCCAGAGCAGCTAAGCTGGGAAATGATGTTTCCCTCCCTGGTGGCTCCCGTCCTCATTACCGTAAACCCTGGGATTAATTTAATTACACGCTTGTCTGCAAGAGGCTGGGGCTCCCAGGCGCCCAGCAGGATCACGAGTTTCCGAGGCTGCTGGGAAGGATGGTCCCCCCAGGGCGCCAGGCCCCTCCCAGGGTCTCCTGCCCCCTCCCCCTGAGGGTCCGCCTCTCTGCAGGGTGCCTGCACCCGTGACCTGAGCCGCCTGGTGCTCGGCCCCTTGCTGCGTGGAGAGCCTGTTTTGGGGAGCTGAGTGTGGGGACGGGGTCAGGACTGGTGGGTTTACGATACCAGTGGTTTCAGTGGGTGGCCATGTGTGATGGGAAGGTGCGATACTTCGATCCATTCTCCTTTTTTCTTTTCTAAAAGAAAGATTTCTCTCTACTCTAGAAGTAGATTATTTGAAAATTAACAAGAAGTCATGTGAATAAATAAAAAAAAATCACTGGTTCCCCCATCTGAGCAGCACACCATCCGCGTTTCTGCGCACTTCCTTCCTGCGCGCAGGATCTCGTCTGCGCGCAGATATTTTTAGGCACGGCAGCCATTACTCACATAATTTTGTGTCCAGTCCCTCCACTGGCATTTTAAGTGTCTTTCCTATTGTCTAGGACAGAAACTCTTTCTAAACATCATTTTAATGATGACAGGGTGGACCCTTCTGCTATTGTTGGACAAATAGTTATTTCCAGTTTTGGCCACGATAAGGGCCTGCATTCTTCATAATTAGAATTAATTCTTTAGGATTAATTCTAATTAATCCATTGGGATTACTGGATGGTCTAAAATATTTTTGAGACTGTTATATTGTTCTTTTGAAGTTAAAAAAAAAAAAAAGCCCAGCAAACCCTGGTGGTCTGAAGCGTATTTTGTTCTCTGTAGCCCCTTGGGGTTTGGGGTGAACCCGAACAGATGGGCTTAGTGGCAGCAGCTCCTTGGTCGGTGCCCTCATGTGGCCCCGTGGGGAGGCCCAGTGGCCTGTGGGCCCTGAGGTTGGGTGCTCGCGTGGGTCGGGGTCTTGCTGGTGACTTGTGGGACGGCCTGCATCCCTTTTCCTGGCGCTCGTCCTCGCTGCCATCCTGGGAGGTGGTGCTAGACCCTGGCTGTGTCCGAGGGCACCAGGGAGGGTGCTGAGGCACATCTGCCACTGTGGGTCCGAGTCCCCGACTCAGACTGTGGTCTGCCTGGGAAGGGACATGCTGGGAGCCCCTTGCTCACGCCATAGGCATCAGCAGAGGGAGACGGCTGGGCAGCGTGCCGCCTTCTGAGTGGTTCTGTGCCTGTTAAGGGCAGAGCACGAGTTAGTGCCATCTTGGGCCGTTGGGCACAAGCAGCACCTGGGTCCTCCTGCTGCTCGGGGCCGTGCCTGCGCCTGAGATCTGGGCTGTAGCAGAGTGCCCAGCCGAGGTCTGACCAAGACCGGCCTCTTTCGGTGAGTCTGCGCCAGCCCCTCTCCGAGGCTGGGTGCTGTCAGCTCTTCCCGGGGTGGCCAGAAAGAGGGGCGGTCCCAGGGACGGAACTGAGGCGGTGGCCTGGGTGGTGGGGAGAGGGGCTGGAAGGCCCACCCACAGTGAGTGGGAACACTTCGTTCTTCGTGGCCTCCTCATCTGGGACATAGGGACAGTGGCTTCTTGGCCCCCACAGGTTTCAACCAGGCGCGAGATGCAGGGGATACTGCATGTCCCATGTGGGGCATTGGGCCCTCCCCACCCCACCTGGGGTCAGATAGTCATTGGGGTCTTCTTGTCTTCACTGGGTAAGGATGAGGGAGCTGGAAGGGTCTCTGGGTTTACTTGGTCCCTGCTTCCAGCGGGTGTTCCAGGGAATTCTCCCGCGAACGGGATGCAGGACGGAAGGTGTGGGGAGCCCAGGCTGTGCCCTGTCTCCCTGGGCTCAGGGGGGCCCAGCACGCCCTGAACACCGAGGCCTTTCCCCTCCGCCTGTCTGTGGGGCGGCGTGGGAACCGCCGTCAGTGCTGACGGAGCCTGAGCCAGCGGGGGCCAGGTAGGGCGGGGCCAGGGCAGGCTCGGGCGGGGCTGGGGGGACCCCAACCAGAGAAGGGTGTGAGGGAGCCCGTCTCACAGTGGCCAGGTCATGGGCCCGGGGTCCTGAGCGGAGGGGCCCACGGGGTCAGATCCCATCTCCCCGCTTTCCTGAAATGTGCCAGCACAAGTCACTGCTCCTCTTGAAACGTTGTTTAGTTAGAGCCTGTGGTAGTGAGGCCCGAGGTGTGCTGTGGTCACCCCGAGGGCAGGGGTGGGTCTGCCTGGCCGGGGAGCCGCCCTTCTCTCCTCTCTAGAAGGCTCCACATTCCTGAGAGGTGACTCTGTTTGGACTGGAGGAGTAGGGAGGGTCTGTTTCATGCGATTCCCCAGCAGTGAGTGGGGCGGGGCTGGCTCAGAGCACCCCCGTTCCTGCCTGTGGCTGGGCCGGATGCTTGGCTGGGGCCTGGGTCCTCCCAAGGGTCCTGCTGATGGTGTGCTGGGGGTAGACAGACGCTCCCTTGCTCCCTGGGTGGCATGGTGGGCCTGGTCTGTCCCCAGCAGCACCTGAGCCCCCGCTGCCCACCCAGGAATGTTAAGAGCCTGTGGAGTCCATTCCCCACCCCGAGTCCCCCGCGGTGGTGGTGCGGGACCAGGCAGCTGGCTTGGGCAGCAGGGTCTGCTGTCTGGTGCCTCCCGAGACCACAGGTCAGCGATGTGAGTCTGGGAAGACCCTGTGACCTGTTGGGGCACGGATATGGCAGGAGGAGCAGTAACTGGCTATGGGGGTGGACGGGGCCTGGGCCGCAGGACTTCTGGCCAGAGGTTCGACAGTCTGTCCCTTACCCACAGCTGTGTGGCTACTACAGAGGTTCCTCATGCCATCTGGCTCGCAGGGGCGCTGGGCCAGGCCTTGCTGCCCCCTCTCCTCCTCCCACCCTGTCTGCGGGTCCCTACCTGCCCCTAGCCCCTCTGCCCTGTGTCGCCCTTGGCCTCCACCGAGGCAGACTCCCCCCATTCTGGTCTGGGCTGGCCGGGCGTGATCTGGTCATCGCTCTGCCCTCTGCGGCAGTGCCCGGCCTGGTGGGGCAGGCCTGGGGCTGCGGGTGGCTGGGTGGGGTGGATTTCACCTGCTTTTCTGATGTCATGGAAGAGCTGGGTGTGTGTGGTGAGAGCGGGTGGATTTCACCTCTGCAGCGGCGGTCTGTCTGCACGGGTTGTCAGTCTGGCCTCCCCTGAGTCTGATTCAGAAACTGGGGCCCCGTGACTGGCAAGGCCACAGGGGTGTCTGGCTGGGGCTTCTGGCCCGCACCTGGCTCCTGGCCCGAGATGTATGCCGCCCGCACGTCGTTTGTGAGCAGTTCCTGGGCGGAATGGCTCAGCTGCGAGCAGGCGCTGTGGACCAGCATGAGCTCCAGGTGCTGGCGTGGCATGCTTATGAGCCTCAGTTTCCCCGCCACAGAGGGGAGAGGGGCCCCTTGGACTCTGGGGGGGAGCTGTGCGTGGCTATGAGAGCTTTTCTTGGGCCTGCAGGATCTAAGAAGCTGAAGGATTTGCCCCCAGGACCTGGCGAGGGAAACCCCCATACCTTTCTCCAGATCCGGAAAGCCCGGCTTGGAAGCCGCAGACGGAAGGGACGGGGGCGAGGGTGGGTTCTGCCTGTTGGGGATGGAGTCTGATGGAGGCTAATGTGCCCTTCCTCTGTGTCCTTCCAGATCCCTCGTCCACCTACATCAGGCAGCTGGAGACCAAAGTGAAGCTGCTGGAGGGTGACAAGCTCCTCGCACAGGTAGGCTGGCTGCGGGCGGCGGCTGCAGTGCCCAGCCCAGCCCCAGCTCACCCCGGCTCCCTTCCCGCCAAATTCCCCCACTCCTGCCCGAGTCCCCTCCTGGAGAGATGGGGCCACAGACCGAATCCCGCCTCCCACACCTCCAGGACTTCCCTCCGGCCCAGCCCCCACGCACACTGCCCCCAGTGGTCTGTGAGCTCCTTGGGGGTGGCACTGGGCCTGTCCCAGGGTTGGTAGGGACACACAGTTGGTGAAGAAATGGACTGCTCTGCCCCTCTGGCAGATGGGCAGATCCAGGCAGGGGAGCGGGGCAGACTCACACGGAAACCTCCCCGCCTCTGCCACGCCAGACTTGCTGGCCGGTTCCTCTCTGGGCTAGGGTCCCCCCTCCGCCCTCCCGGGCCCTGCCCTGCAGACAGATGAGGCTGCAGCCCCTGTGCAGAGCCAGGCAGCAGTGGCATGGCAGGTCGGAGGCTGGGTCAGGGGTGTGGCCTGCAGGGAGGAGGTGGTGTCAGGTGAGGGTCGTCTGTACCTCTTGAGTGTGGCTGGAGCGTGGAGGGGAGCTGTGACTGCTGGGTCAAGGGCCTTCCCTGCTGTGGGTTGGGGCAGCCATCGGGGCTGGTGAGGGGTGGCTGGGGCCAGCTGCCTTGGCTGAGCCCTCCAGCCTCCGACCCCTCGTACCGTCCGTCCCTGGCTTTATCCCAGCCTGCCCCCCTGGTGTCCTCGCTCGCCTGGGATGCCCGAAGCGTTTCTCTGGGAACCAACTCCTGGGATGGCTCAGCTGCCTGGCCCCGTTGCTAGGCGACCGGCTGGGCTTGGCGCCGACTGCCTTGCTCAGGAAGCCCGAGGTACCCTCTCTGCCCGTCCGGTGGCTGCTGCGAGGCTCATGGCCCGAGCAGGGGGTGCAGTCCCAGCTGCGGTCATCCGCACGTCTCGCCCCTGCGTGGGCCATTGGGACAGTTCCCGCAGCCCGGCAGGACTGAGCAGAGTACATGCCCTCTATATGGCTTCCTCTCACCCTCCTCCACCCCGACGACCAGGACACACACGCCCAGGCGCAGAGCCGGGCCCTGAATGGCAAGGCTGGCTGGTATGATTTCATAGTTGGTGCAAGGTGCTGTGTGGCAGGAGGGCCATGGCCCAAGGATGTGCTGGCTCTGCGGGGCTGGACAGGGCAGGGAGGGGGCTGGGGTCTCACCTGGCTGTGGGGTGGGCTCCCTAAACCCAGACTTTCCATGTGGGCCCGACAGGGTGGTCGTGGTTACTCAGGAGGGTGTGTAGGCTGGGCTGCGGGAGCTGCAGCAGAGGTGATCCCAGGAGCATTGGTGGGGGCGGAGGGTCGCCAGGGTGCAGAGGCCTTTGCTTTGGAGCAGGTTCCCACCCAGTGAGTGGGGGAGGTACCTGCTCCCTCCAGGGCACGGCAGGGCTACTTCCTTGGGGATGGGCGGCCGCTCTGCAGAACAAAGGCCAGGCCCGTGCCCGGGCCCTCCGGGTCAGCGGCCTTGTGTGTCTGCCCCAATCTGGCCACGCCTTGTTTCATTGTCCCTGTGGAGAAGCAGGTCACAAGCTCAAGCTGTGAATTTGGGGTGCTGTTTGTCACATTCTTTCTACGAGAAGTACGTTAGGTCCAACCGGAGACCATGCCTGGTCTTCTTGCCACAAGGACAGGCATATCCTTGACCGCTTGGTCCCTGCTGTCCTGGGCCACACTGTCCCGGGCCACACTGTCCCACTGGGAAGATACACCCCAGTTCCAGGTGTGGCCCTGACCATGGGCTCGCTGGAAACGTGTGTCCGTGCCAGCCGTGGAGCAGCAGCCCTTCCTCCCGCCTTCCTCTCGGGGTGCCCAGGTCTCGCCAGGAGGCCTCCTCTCCCTCCATGGCTGTGTCCTCTGGCCCCCACCCGTCTGTGCAGAGTGGGAGGTTGATGGGAGCCTGAGCGTGGAGAGTGGCTCTGTGCAGGGCCCCCTCTGTCCCTAGCTCTGCTCTGCCCCCTGGAGGCAGCAGCAGGGTTCTGCCCAGATCCTCATCCCCCACCTGTGCCCATGCCCTGGGCCAGACTGGTGGGGCACAGACACCAGACGCCCATCAGCTGTGCAGGTGCTGGCTCTCGCCTGGCCTCAGACCCAGACTTGCTGGCCGCAGGCAGGTAGACTGGGATTTAAGGGCAGAAACCTGCTTTTGCCCACTTGTTGCTGGACATAGGGGGGGTGGGGCTTCGGCCGTTCCGTTGCGGGGTTTTTCGGGTTTTTTCTTTTTTTTGTTGGAATTTTGCTTTTTTCCCAGCGGAGGCTTGTTGAGGTTGGGTTGTTCTTTTGTAGCTGAATGAGCCCATGTGTGTGTCTCTGTGTCGTGGGGGGAGGGCACCCAGGTCCCATCCCTAGTTTCTTCTTCAGGGCGGACTCTGCGGCAAGTGGGGTCTTGCTCGGGATCTCAGCAGGCGGGTGTGGGGCCGTACCCAGCATCCTGAGAAGGGGGTAGCCCGATGGTGCTGGGGCCTCAGCTGCCCGGCCTTGCACGCCCTCCTGCCCCGTTTCCACGCTGCAGCAGAGGGGCTGGCCCTGAGCCTTACCGTGAGCAAACGCACCGGGAGCCGGTGGCATCAGCAGAGCCAGAGAGTCTCCGGGACCACGGCCCTGCCACCTGCGGGCGTGCGGTGCTGCTGGCCGTGGAGGAGGCCTCTGCTGTCTGAGCTGTGCAGGAGAGAGAGAAGGAGAGACAGCGTGAGGAGGGGCCCCCAGCCTGCTCAGGGTTTCCCGGTGGCAACTGGTACCTCACCTGCCTTTGGGTTTCTGGGGCAGCTCCAGTGTCACCAGCTCTGTGAGGATCCCCAAGTCACTTTTTCTCCCCAGGCCTGTGTCATGGGCACACACTCATTAACTCAGTGTGCAATTGATACCTCCTGTGTGTATGACCCTGGGAATGTGGGACGACCAGGCAGGGGCCTGCCCTTGTCCCAGCCAGCAGGACTCGCGTGCACAGAAGGGCTGCTGGAGGATGGCACAAGTGGGGAGAGCCCGTGGCGGGGCTCAGCCCACGATGAGAGTAGTGGTCCCATTCTCGAGGGGGAGGCCCAGGGAAGATGGGGTTTGCTTAGCCTCCTGTCTCCTGGCCTGTCTCCTGCTCACAGCCCTCCTGATCACCTTCAGGTGGCCCAGCACTTCCTCCGAGCTCTCTGGGTCCTGGGCTGCAGTCACATCTGTGTCTCCAGTGCTTGGCGCAGCTGATCTGGGTGAATGCCCCTTGGGGAGCCCGTGCCACTCCCCACCTAGTCTCCTAGACCAAGAGAGGAGGCTGTTTCTTGCTCAGAGTAAGAAGGGTCTGAAGGGTCTGCTTAACCAAGGGAGGGCTGCTTGTTCAGGTAGTGAGGGCACCATCTTTGGAGGTAATCAAGAGATGGCTGGATGGCCAGATGACCACATTTGGGAATCTTGAAGAAAGAGATTGTGGCTGTGAGTGGCTGTCCTCAGCCCCATGGGCTCTGGCCTGTGGGATTTTAGGATTCTGGCATTGAAATCTTGTCATCGAAATCAAATCGTACAGAAACCCCCAGCTCCACGCAAAGCAGGGACTCTTCTGTTGGTGAAAAGCAGGAGAGAGGAGTGTTATTCTTTGAGATGGCACAAGGTGACCTGGGTTTGGGAGGGGAGGGCAGAGCACCCCTCCGGATTCCCACGCCCCGCTGCCCTGCCCCTCCCCCCCACAGCCTCCGTTTAACTCCAAAATAGCTTTAATTAAAAATGTGCCAGCGTGTTCACGGACTAAATTACTGTGTTGCAGTTCGTATTTTCTTTCTCATGTTGGCTTTAAAATTTCATCAACACAGCTGCTTCCTCCGCGATGATTCATCCCAAGACTCCGTGCACGTTATTATTTTTCCCGTGGATTCGCTGTGCCCGCCGCCCTGGGGTGGGGGCGACTGTAATTGACGCTCGGGCCTCAGGTTCACTCCCCTGCCGGGCGGATAAATGAAGTCTCCATTGTGCGCCCAGAAGCCGCCTCACAAAGGAGCAAGACGCCCTGGTCGCGTTCTCTCTCCCAGGCCGGCGGGGGCACGAGGCTGAGCTCCAGGCTGGGGGCTGTGAGGGGCCCCAGCCCGCCCCTCCTCCTCACCCCTCTACACCTCTCGTGCCTCCTGTCACGTCCCGCAGTGCTGCCGAAAGGGCCCAGGGTTTGCACCAGGCACAGATGTGGAAACTGAGGCCTGGGTGGAGAGGGTTTCCTGACGTGGATGCTGCATTAGTTGCCGGCGCTGCCAGAGCAGAGTTCTACAGCTGTGGGGCTCAGACAACAGAGATTTGTTGCCTCGCAGTTCTGGAGCTTGGAAGTCCAAGATCAAGCTGTCGGTTGGGTTGGTTCCTTCTGAGGCCTCTCTCCGAAGCTGTGGCCACCTCCCTGTGTCCTTATGTCATCTTCCCTCTGTGTGTGTCTGTCCCATTTCTCCTTTTCAGGAAGACACCACTCATATTGGATTAGGACCCATCCTAATGCCCTTCGGATTCCCGAATGTGGTCATCCAGACATCTAGCCATCTCTTGATTACCTCCAAAGATGATACCCTCACTACCTGAAACTCTTCAAAGACCCTATCTGCAAATAGGTCACATTCAAAGGTCTTAGTGGTTAGGACTTCCATATATGAATTTTTCGGGTGACATGATTCAACCCACAGCAATGATGTTGGCCTGATGGTGTAAGAAGGTGGGCTTGGGCCCCGGAGGAGTCTAGGCTCAGGTAATCCCTGCCCCAGTGCTCACCTGCGGTGTGGCTTTAGGCAAAAATCCTTTATCTCTTGGCACCAGTTTCCTCACCTGTAAAACAGGGCTGACGGTGACACCCAATACAGCACGGGATGTGGAAGCTGGGAACACTCCTGGGTAATGCCTGCCTTGCCTGCATCTTCCTGGTCCCATGGGCCCGGGATTTGCAAGGTGTGGCTGACCGTGCCCCCAGCTGGCGGCATGGGCCTGGCCCATCCCAATGAACTGCTGAGCTGTGTCC